TATCCTCCATTGATTATTGTATTAAAAAAAATATCAAAGTAAAAGTCTGTTACACTATAGTTTGACTATTACTATGTCAGTACAGTTAAGGTGCCCATACACCTTCCGATTATCGTACGAAACTTTTCGTCCGATGATCGAACCGTTGTAAGATTGTCGTACGGCGGCCCCATCCTGCCCTGATTATCGCAAGGTTCAATCAGCGGTAGTTTAAAAAAACACCTGGACGAATTGCAGTAATCGACCGCACGTATTTTCGTTTGCTCATGAGCAGTGTTAATCGTATGACTTTTGACCTACGGAAACACCACCAACCTTGCGAAAATTGTACGATCGACTGAAGTTTTCTAACATGCAAGAAAGACAAAAGTCGTACGATTGTACAGTACTGGTGGTTGCACACTACCCATACACCTTACCATTGTCGTACGAAAAGTTGATCGCATACGATTATCGTACGATTATCGCAATGTGTATGGGCACCTTAAGTCTAAGCATTAGAATTGACTAAGTTCATGGTCTTTTAACATCTCGTCACTGAAGGTGCTACTAAACACTACTAAGTGCTACTAAACACCAATAAGGTGGCATTCCTTGTTTAATTAGTAGAGGTTGGCTGTGCATAACATCACCCTTATTTATTTTCCCTAAATGAGCTATCAAACTAAGGTTATGGCCATGTAACTCATATCTTCCAAATATATCCTAAAACTTCTGTATTAGATAAGAGGAAAGGTGGTGTCCATATTACTTACAGATTTCCTTTGCAATATATAATTTTCTCTAACTCTACAGGTGCTGTTTATGTAGGAATGTAAAATGAGATTCAGTAGTCATTTCACACTCCATAGCTGGCGTGCCCGTCTTCAGATATTTCCTAAATAGAGAAGACTGTGGAGCACTGTTTATGTACACTTGACCAGATCAAATATCTTCACGTTCAGTTTCACATTGCCATGATAGGATCAAGTAATGCTTGCTCATGATATATTTATGTAGGGTGCATCCGACAGAAACAGTCAACAGCTGATACATTTATTTGAAGGACAATCTAGCACACACAGCATTCTGTCTGCAGTGAATCAGCTGTTAATGGGAGTTTTTTTCTCCTTCAGACTTCCAATTAGCAACAGAGATTGATTGGAGCTGAAACAAAATCGGTTTTGTGGAATGTGACTGAAAGTAACCATATCAGCTGTGGTTTTCAAAGAAACTACGTCGGCGTCTAGGAAACAGATGTTGAAAAGGTGGTGAAAGTGATTCAGCTTGGAAATCTTCATTTCTCATGTTGAACATACAACCAAACTTCCTTCCAGCTTACCAGAAGTGAGTGTAAACCAGGCACCACACAGGAAGTGGTACAGCTTATCTAAAGTCAGTCCAAGATGCAGAATAAGAAGCTTTGTTTATAAAGCTTTAATGGATGATCATTCAGTAATGATAAACAGTGAAACATCTGACCTATTCACTGGTTTTGTAAAATAAAAAAAGGCTAACACCAGCAGTCAAAGCTGTCCACACAGCTGTTGTGTTGTCAGGAGACAGTTTGGCATCTACCAGTTGCTGCTGCCAACTTACTCTCTCAGTGTCCTCATTTCTGAGGTTTTCCCATTTTAGTGCAGATAGAACCATGGAATTCAGCTTAATTCATCTTAATCACATTAGGTAAAGTGATCTGGAATGGAAGCTCAGAAGGTGATGTATTTACAACATGTGTAAAGAAGCTTAGAATGATGAAAAACAAGTTGTGAATTGCTAATGCTCTCATTATCACACAAGGAGATATTCTGATATTCTAACTTGGACAATGCCCCCAGCCTTTCATTGACAAGTAAGAAAGGTGTTTGGTGCAGATGCACTTCTTTATGATTGCCTAAAGAATCATTTATAATGTAATCTTACATAGGTGAACCCAAGGTCTGCTTTTGATTCAAGTGAAGTTGGATGCAAACATGTCCTTGTATGAGTCCTCTCTCTTGATAGCACAATCACATTTCTGAAAGTGGCAATTGAGGAGCACAGCACCGGACATCCCTGCAGCATGCTGCAGTGTGTGTGCTCAACCCTACTATCAATTTAGATGTGCTTCATCCAAGCATGAAAATGTTCATGGACATGAGAAGATGTGATTTGGCCAAAAAACTACTCCGAGCTCTGTGTTTAAGACCTTAGTAAAACTGTAGAATGGACCATACTGCCCAAGGTGGCCAACAGGTAAACAATCCGATCTTAGATATATATAGATATTAGGCCTTTATTTTCAAAGGATGTGACAATTATATATAGCCAAGTCTCCATGGATATAAATAAAGAACCTTCTTCTTGTGTTAAAGCTTTGTTAATTGAGTTTCAACTGTTATATTAAGTTATACAGTATATCTATTTAATTTTCACTCTTTGTTTAATATCGTAAATGATCAAAAACTGTTTCAATCAAAGTCATTATAACATAGAAAGATTTGTCTGGTATTTGACTGTCAATATCTAGCCCTACATCTGACACATCCAACTCCCAGTCCCAGACGTGTGGTTTTATTCAAAATCCACAGCTGGCCATAGACTGGAAGTTTACAAATGTATGGTCAAGAGATGTTTATTTTATGAGAAAATCAGATGGCTGAGCCAAACCAGACTGCATTAACTTTCATCAAAACTATTAGAAAGACTGAATTTCTCTGCTTAGGTGAAATTTGACATAACAGTAATCATGAGCTGCCTTACTTTATACAATTATTTCTTAAAAGACAACCGAGATCTGATGGTAGCCATACATACAAACTCAAGGAAATTTAGCCAGGTCCTTGGAATTCTTTTTTTCCAGTTGACATGCACATTTATAAGCTGTGCACCTTGGGGAGCTCTCCATAAAGTAGTACGAAAAACGGATTAACTCCTTTTCTCTCCAATCAGCAGGTTTTTTGTTAGCCCAATTACCTATAGCACACCTAAGTTGGTTCTAGTGCTGCCCCTCCCTCTCTCTAGAGCTCTGCTATACACGGATATACAGAAGGCTGATATGAAGCCAGATTCAGGTTCTTAAATCAGATGCATTTAAGAACACATACTGTTTAATGAATACATTTCAGTTGTGTTTTTAAATGTACCCAGAGTTTCACTTTAACTGACTTTTCCTATCTAAAACAGCAGAAATGAGAATTAAGTCAACAAACTTAAATCACAAGCAACAGGTCATACCCAGGAACCAGAAGTTTACAGCATATCTGATTTGGACTCCTAATTAGGCTGCAAAATCTCTAGAACAGTTAAGGTAAGGATGAGATCAGTTTGAACTTTGCTTTTATTCTTCCATACAAGTTGATGTGACTGCATGGCAAAATCATGGTAAAACACCTCAAATGTCTGTGAACCTTAGCTCTTAGCAAATGTGTGTGGCCAGATCTGTATGACCTGTGAGAAAGAAAGAAAAAGTCCCAGTGACCACATACCCAGTGACACATCACTTCCCCCTCCCTTTTAGATTGTAAGCTCTCAGGGGCAGAGCCCTTTGTAAACGTCTTCCTTATATTGTAAAGCGCTGTGCAAACTGTTGGCGCTATATAAATCCTGTATAATAATAATAGTACACAGCCAAATGTGTGACCATATTTTCCATTGTGCCTAAACACCGTCTTAGCAAACACCAGCGGAGTTTGAAAGATAGGCGCTTATTAAAAACACATTTAGAGAAATAGCAGAACAGTTCAATTTATACAATATATCAAACCATTTGTGCTTAAAGAGGAACGTTACCCACATCTTCAAAATAACAACAAAGGCACCTTTAGAAATGTTTAGTTATAACAATCTACAACAGATACTTCTAGATAACTGCAGGCTTTTTTATTTTTTGCATACCTTATTTTTCTTTTCTTCCCCAGTCTTTCTGACAGTGGCCATTTTAACTAAGGGCAGGTTATTAGATCTCCCTTTACTTTCTGGAACTCTGGCACATGTGACTAGGACATGTGACCATGCACATCATCTCAGGGGAGTTAAATGCCTTTCTCTGAGATTTCATTATATTACAGATGAGATTTCCCAGCAATGCTCTGCTGATGTAACCTTCCCATGATGCAATGCTTGGGCAAGATTACATCATTTGTGCCAACGTGGACCAGGAAGTGGAAAAAAAAGGAATGTTAACTAAAAGAAAAATATGTTTGTTTAGCTAATGAATGTAAGATGATTTCATATCAACATGTAGAGCTGTATGCTAATGTAATTTTTAGTCAAAGGGGGTAAAGGTTCATTTTAACTGCTGATTGGGTTCTGCGTGTACCCTCCAGAGCTCCTGCAGTGGCTCTGATGTATAAGTTGAACTTGGTGATGTGTGGTGATTCACAGGGGTCTACTATCCCCACTGCTGGTAGCTGAACATCAAAGATTTCACCTCACTATAAGCTGATAATACATTTAAATAATATATACATTCCCTAATCTGAATAACTAAACAAGATTGGAAGCAATATTGCATAACAAACTGCTCCTTAGAATAATTCCACCAGTGGGCTTATCAGTATATTTTAAACACAACTTTCCAAAACATAATGTTCCACTCCTAAAAAGAGAACTCTCTTAAAAGTACTACCTGTAGTGTTTTGTGTGTGCCACAGCTTAATATTATATCTAAAAGAAGTTCCAGTGCCCATAAGAGTCAGTCATCAAGGACTGATTATGCAGCAAATCTTAGGGGAAACCTGAACTGGGTACAGCTCGCATACATTACTCAGGTTCAAGGAGAACAGTGCAGCATGCACTTTCACACAGATTAACAACTAATCGCTTGTGCGGCAAATAGGAAATTCTTTGCAGGGAGATTTGCGCTCTGCAATAGGCTTACAACCGGCCACTGGAATGCAATCCCATGTTAATCCGCATTGGAATTTATAAGAACAAGGAAAAATTGGATATATTAATAATGGTATATGTCAGATAATACAACAGCTTGAAATAAAGTACTGCTGTTACCAACTCTTTCCAGTAAATCATTTTTAATTTTTTACAGGTTAAAGAGAGAGATCAAGAGATATATATAAGGCCCTTTTTGGGGTTTTAATATGTTTCCTAGAAACAAGATTTCCTAAAAAAAACCAACACAGATGTGCTTCAAGGTAGGATATTAACCATAGTAAAAGTAATGAAGCTAGAAAATTAAAGGACACCTCCAGTCTGGATACAAACTAACAAACCTATAAAATGCCAGGTTACACATTCTTACTAATTCTTTTTTTCTTATCTTGATCTGTAAAAGTATCTGTACACATGAGGTACAAATATAAAAAAATATAAATCAGATCTTTGCTGGTGAGTGTCAGTCTCTGATTGCTGATGAAGGAACCCATAGGCAATCAATATTTTTGGAGACAGGCTTCAGTTCCTGCTACTGTCTAAATACCTAAGCATCATTTCTGCAGGGGTTACAATAGATAACAATTTTACAATAGTAAAGTAAGTATTTTTTTGTTTCTGCAGAAATTTTCAAGCATGCTTGAAAATCTCAGGGATGCATGAAGTCCTCATTTCTTCATTCCTACTATGCACTTGATTTGTGGTTCTGACCCCTTGCTAAGCACCCCAAAAACAATCGGTCTAAAAGTTCACACTGAGCTAAACAAAACGACTATAGACGTCAACAGTCTATGGACCCTTGTGATGCTGCCCCCTGAGTGTTAGATGACAGTGGATGCCCAGTGCTTACAATGTTACCACATAAAACACCAGTGCTAGCAGACTGCTAAGAAGAAACATATTGCAAATGAGAGTTTAATGTAGATATGTACTATTAAATGTACAGAGGTTTCCTCACCATTTGGCACATTCGTTGTGCGGTGGCCTGTCCCTTCCATGACAACATTTACATTTTTCACATGGTTACCACATAATGAACACATGACCATAAAAGCAAAATACATCATTGATGTGTCCAGATCTATATTTGGTGTGTCTTTTAGGTGTTCTTATGTCTGCTTGCAAAAAAATGTAATTCACATCTATGTGTGTTTACGGTTCGGCCAGTAAAAGGTGATTATACCACACGGTAAATGCACTGCTACATAAGTGTGTTATTTCCTCTTAATATGTGAATAATTACTGCACTAAAATAGATGGAAAACTTCTCCCATGCCTTGTAGTGGGAGATTTGAGCATGTGCTTTTTTTAATAGTCTTGTGATTCCGATTGAAAATTAGGTGTTTTCTATAGCTAGCACAAAACAATAGAACACAGAACTAAAATTCATTTAACGTGGATTCTTAAATACTTAGAATAAATTGAGCATAACCACATCCCCAGCAATTGTAATTTCTTATGATTCTAATTTTACACTAATGAGCCAAACAAAGAACAGTTCTAAGTTCTGAGTCAACATTTGTCTTTGACATTTCCCAATAAGCAGAAGACAGAAAGCACTGTTCCTATAAATAACTGCTCCTGCAATAAAGCAGATTCTTAGCATATTGTAATAAGATAGAGGATTAAGCTTCCATAATCCACCTCATTGTTTTGGCATGGCTGTCCTAAGCAGTTCAGTAAGTGAGAAGAAAATTGATGCTCTAAAGAGCACAAAAAGGATGATTAACAGGTGAGATCCTGCCTCAGAAAGTATTACTGGAATATCATCAAACCAATATGAAAAAAAGGGGGAAACAAGTATAAACCTATGGCATGTTAGAGGTCATCACTGGACAGGAAGGTAGATGCACAACAGGTAAAATGATGGAGGCCCATGAGACAAGCAAGATGTGGAATGCTGGGGGGAAAGAAGCAGTGTAGGGTAGATACAATAAAGCACTTGATGGGATGCCAGAAAATCAGCACAGGTGCAATATACTGTGGGATGCTAAAGGGTAAATACACGACTTAGAGTTTTCAAAAGAACTCCCAGCCTGTGTGCAAAGAGACACACTTTTGCTTTGATAGAGGTGACATTGGTTCCTCACACTGACAGGAGCTGCTGGTCCTGAAATAGGTAAATGTTGGTGAATGCAGTTGCCAATGTCTAAGACTTGCTGAGTGGGAAGATCTGGATTTGAATCCAATAAACCCCCATTCCATATGTCCCATGTCAACATACATGCATGTAAGGCCTACTGCTTGAGCAGGGATTAGACTGGAAGAGAGAGAAGCAACACAATGAGCCAGTCATCTGTGCCTCATGTGCTGACAAAGAACATGTTAAGCAAAGAACAGAGCAGGGTGACAGTGATGAGCTCATCAGTCTGCTGCTTCTCCTTCACTGTCTAATCACAGGATGGGGGCAGGACAAGATATAGAAGTGCAGAGAAAAATCAGGTCACTGGCAGGCAGGGCTGTGCTGTGTGGCAGACCTTTGCAAATCTCAGGACTGGATGGACATGCATACTAATCTTGTGGCAGGTAAAACAGATGCCTTATATGTATTTCATCTGTGTATTGTTTTGGAGTTTAGCTTTAGGTATGTGAATTATGCTTAGATGATTCAGCAGAAACTTTTATACTTGTCCTACAATATAATAATCCACTTTTTATCCAGGGCTGGATTTCTTAGATGAGAACTATCTGTATACATATGTAATCCATTCCTGAAAACTTCCCATTCAACTAAGGGCAAGAAAAAAACATGAACAACTGCAAAGTGAATTCAGTTTTCAGCGAGTGGCCCATATGGAATTCAACTAACATGTGGGCTGGGTAGCTTCCACTATCACTGCCTAGTTGCTCCTGATACCTAGTGAGGTATTTTGTTTGATGTTTGATTCTGATGATAATAACAGAAGCGTCATGTCTTACAAAAAGAAAAAGAGCACAGACATTTTTCCTTACCTGTCCCGGCTGCTCACAAGCTGTCTGGTATCTGGCTTGCTGGCAAAGCTCCTTCACTCGCTCATATTTTGGCAGATGGTTGGACTGTGGTGCACTTTTGGTTGGCTCCTCTTTCTTTCTAATAAATTTGCTATTAAGAAATATGTGTAAGTGTGAGAAAGGACAACGAGCCTTATTAAATAAAGGGTTCAAGCAGAAAACTACTAATTATCAAGTGCAATAACTGATAGAAAATAAATCTGAATCAATGATGTACAGTTCGCAGAGGAAATTCTATGGCAGGTATGAGTCATAGAACCTAAACACTAGCAATTGATTCTTTATTCAAAAGTGATACAAGTCATGGCTAATGTTCATGTGCTGTAAAATATGTTGGCGCTATATAACTATATATACCACCAACCATAAAGGAAGTAGACAAATAACAGCTCCAAAACAGCCGCACTCCACAGGACTTGATGAATAAACAAACTTTTATTATTAACACATATACACTGTACACTACAAATTGCTTCCCCATGTAACAAAACACTCTTACGCGTTTCACCAACTCAGCTTAATCATAGTCCTCAATGATTAAGCCAAGTTGGTGAAACACATAAGAGGTTTGTAGTGTATGGTGTATATGCGTTAATAATAGAAGTTTGTTTATTCATCAAGACCAGTGAAGTGTGGCTGTTTTGGAGATATATTCGTTAGAGGTGAGGATGCACCTATTTGCCTGCACTGGAGATATAACTGTGATGTGAGCTGGCCTGGGATTTTCAAGAGGTGGATTGCTCTAGAACTACATTAGACAAATAACAGGTTATAAAGCAATATTTTAGGTGCTGAATAAAAAAAGGCTAGCATACAGGTAAAACCATAAACGTAATTATATCAATGTAATTTTGATATTTACATATCAATATAATATATAATATATCGCTAAAAGGATGTGGAAAGCCCTCCAAATTAGTCAGTTCAGTTACACAAAGCCAGGTCCATAAAAATGTGGTATGGTGAGGAAGAACTTCAGTGGCCTGCACAGAGCCCTGCCCTCAACCCTATTGAACACCTTTGAAATAAACTAGAATGCAGATTACGATCCAAGTCTTTTCCTCCAAAATCAGTACCTGACCTCACAAATGCTCTTTTGGCTGTATGGCGCAAATTCCCACAAACATCAACATCTTGTGGAATGCTTTCCTGAAAGCATGGAGGTTGTCATAGTTGCAAATGAGGGCCAACATCTTGCTAATGCTCATGGTTTGGGGATGGGATGTCCAACAAACTTATATAGGTGTGATGGTCTTTTCGGTAACTTTTGATTAAATAATATATAGCAAATATCAACAATTGTTCAAAGCTCGATTGCAACTAAAAAAAGCAGTTCTAGCATGAACTACAATATGTATGAAAATGTTGTGTCACCATGAGGGCAGTAATACTGCTATTGAGACCACTCCTTTATCATAGCTGTTTTTTCCCCTGGGGAAACTTCCTACCACATCTCCTGAGTTTGCTCATGTAATATCACAGCTCACATGACCAGCAGTAGGGGACACGTAGAGCAAAATCACTACACCACTACACCGGTAAACTATTGAATACTGCATTGCAGAAAGTGCAGACGGGTTTTGGTTTAGATCCCAGCACCAATGTTGTGAATGTTTGGTGCGCATGAATTACACCTTAATGGCAATGCATAGTTTTCTGGAAAGAAACATGATTCCAGTGCTTCCCAGCCTATGAATTATTTTAGCATTGGAGGACCCACTTTTATTTCTTCCCAGGGCTCGCTTTTGTTAAAAACCAGCCCTGCCTGACAACCCCCACACAGCTGGGTACATTATTAAATGTATGTTACAAAGAATACAAAAGTAATTGTTGAACCACACTGCTTTATAGTCCACACATACAGACTATAATTACAAAATGAATATCAGTAAAAGTCCTTTGTACACCTCTGATTTCACTGTGCATCTTAACTAGTTATGGCCTCACAACATATCACGTTGTCTTATTTTGTACAGTGTATCTTAATAAACTAGAGACAGTGCTTTAAATTACAGTCTGGTAGAATGTGGTTATGTACTGGTTTTTGCTTCAGGGCTATCTGGCAAAAAGACAGAACAATATTCCACTGGAGAGGTACAGTAACCTCCTCTACAGCCGTATGCCAGATGCAATTTTAAATCATGACACATGTTTATGTTGTCAAGACATGTTAAATGAAGTTCAGTCATTGTATGAAATAATAAACGTAGCCTGTTACCCTCTTTCCACCAAGAATGTATCTCTCCAGATCTTGCTTTTTTTATTGGTCCGTAATCTGGAAGGAAAGGAAGAAGGAGTCTGAGTAAGAACCAGCTGTGCAGAGTGGGTTTCATGTTCAAGTAAATAAATCAAATGTCTTCATTTTCCATGGCGACAGCAGGTTTGCAACTTTTCTTTTTTAGCTGGCAATGGAAAGTGGCAGAAGAAGCTCGCTCAATCAGTAATGGAAACATTTCCTTATCTGTGGCTTTATGGATAATATGCCTGATTACTAAAATCTTAGTAGCTTGTTTCTGTTATTTGGGATCATTTCGGTGTGTTTATGTTCCCTTTGTATATGTCAATTCAGGAAATGAGAGTTGGCAAACCTAAAACATGCATATGTAAAGCTGGATAAATGGCTCTATAATTTATGGGTTTATAAACCAGCAGTTCTGTATGTGCATTTGGCTCCAGGGGTGTCATGAAATGGATTGTATGTCTCTTCCCACTAACCTTATGCTAAACTAACCTAAGCTAACCAGACAGAACCATGAGAACTGCCATTGCAGACTTATTTTCCAATGGTACTTGTCTGTCTTCCTAAAGCCTTTCTTGTGCTACTTGGCGAGTTACTGATCTAAAATAAGGCTATACATATCTGGTGCCTGAGCAATTCTCATCTGCGTATTTGCTCTGGATCAAAGACTCACTAAAAAGTGAACCAAGGATAAGTAGGACAGCCCCTAAACTAAGAAACCCAATGGCCATTTAATTTTTGCATTTCAAGAAGTTATACTTTAACTTCCATGTTTAGATATACCACATACACACAATACATAAAGAATTACCAACCTGTTCCCTGGTCTCTCAATATCCATCAAAGGAAGAATGGACTTCCCATCCATGTCAGGAGGTGTATCTAAACCAGCAATATCCAGAATAGTTGGAGCAATATCCAAGTTCAGCACAATCTGAGGCACACTGCAAAATACAAACATACAGGGCTACAGAATAACTTTAAAATACATTTATCTGCATTTATTTCTAATATGAACTCACGGTTTTTAAAATACATTTCTTTTTACTATCTGCCTTTGGGTTCTATAAACATTTGCAGAGTATTAGAGTACCCTTATTTCATTGCTAATTCATGAAAAATAACTATGACACAAGACAGATTTTCCCATTGTTTACTCCTACTATATTTACAAAATGCAACTCTGCAAAAGAAAATATGTGCTAAGCCCCTGACCAATGAAAGTAAAGTGTACAAGTACATAGAAATCATACCTAAATTGTACATTTCTCAGAATAGTAGTTTTGAATTGTTGTTAATTTTTAATCACTTCCTAAGTTACTGGACATCTCTGTGTACATGCCTGTATACCAAATGCCCATTCTGTCTCTGTAACCCTTATTGGTGACCCAGAAGATGGTGGAAAAACGTATAAATACTATATATACTAGATATGCACATCTCTGCATATATGCCTGTATACCAAATGCCCATTCTGTCTCTATAACCCTTATTGGTAACCCAGCAAATGGTGAAAAAACATATAAATGTATAGATTCAAGTGGGCAGCGCTAACAGACGGATCTCATTCAGTGTTGCACACCCTGAATCATGGCAACAGTCCATAGACATTGCACATAACAGCACATCTGTCCCCAGCTATGTATATACTTTATATAACCGTGGAAGACTTTCTGGCTAGTCATCCCTATTTAAGATTGTTTTGCATTGCACATAAGACATAATCAGGCCTAAATATATAGATGACACCCCCACACACAAAGTTTAGTACCGAGCCAGCTAGAAAAGCAGACAATACAATGTATGCCCCAATCACTGGGAATGCGGTTATAATGAGAAGTTATTTCTCTGAAGACCATCTTTGGTCATGTAACCACATTTGTATGATATGACGTTCCCATCCACCCTCATGTTGATAAAGAGCACCAGGATATAAATTGCAGCATAAAGCACAGAACAAAGCAGATTTAGTAAATTCCCAGACTCCTATGTTTATAATATTTGCTGTTGGTAACATGGCCTCAGAAAATTAAGAAGAGTAATGGTTTTGTTAGTCCAAACAAAGTAGTTAGTGGCTGATGAAGACCAGGACAGCCAGTCCATGTGAGGACAGAATCATGTTGTTATTTGGAAGCATGACAGATATAACAGTTGTGAACTAGGCAAGAGAACGTACACTGATCCTTGCTCCACGTTTGGCCCGCGCACAAAGAAAGGGACCCGGATATCAAAGTCATAAGGCATAGATTTCCCTTTGACCAGCCCAAACTGTCCTATATGGTAGCCATGGTCTGCTGTATAAATGATGTACGTGTTGTCCAATTCTCCGATTTCCACCAACATGTTGTACAGCTACCAATACAAAATAAAAATCAATAAACATATTATCAAAAGACAGCATAGTTATTGCTACATTGCACATTTCCACAGTGCATCAAAACAAAGGGGTGCAAAGTCTTACAGGTCATTTTCTTTCTAAAGTAGCCACAGTCTGTGCAGAAAAGACTGTCCCGTCAGCATGCTGCAGAGAAGGAACGTTGTTCTCTGTGTGCAAGCAGTGGTCTCTCTGCAGAGGTCTGACACCCTCCTGCTGAATCAAAGCTAGAGATCTCCAATCACTGGGGAATATGAGATCTGCTGATTGCAATAGTAATAGGTTCTGAGAGCACTTTGTAAACCTGGCATTGCTCACAGAAATTCTTGAGCGCTGTGGACATACAAGGGGATTTGCTGTTAGCAGTTAGTTTATCACACAGCACTATTAAATGCCATTATAAGATGAAAACATTTCACTTCAATACATCTAGAAAAGAAACTGATTATGGACAGGACATATATTCTTCAAGTCAGGCACAACCTGCTTCCCCACTTAGGCCTTTTCATGTTCATATATTTTCAGGATATTGTAACCTGCACTTGTACTAAACCCCAGGGATTGAACACCCAGAGGGGAATTTATCAGAACTGGAGCAGACAAAAAATGGAGCCGCTTTGCATGACAACCAGCTTCTCTCTTCAGTTTGTTTATTTCAAATTTGAAAATTAAAAAGAGAAGCTGATTGGTTCCCATGCACAGCTGCTCCAGATTTTGTCTGCTCCAGTTTTGATAAATGCCCCTCCCAGTGTTTTTGCCTGGTACAGTAATTCTTCTGATTAAGGGCCGGTTCACACCACAAAGTCTGCCCTCTAGAGTGTTCGGCCTCCCTGCGTTTAGGGGCGGAAGGGGGCGTGCCGATGCATTGAAGTCAATGGCACCGCAGCCACGCCCACAGTGCGATCGCCCGCACCCGGAACGCAGGCACTTAGGCCTGTCCAGTACGATCTGCAAAATTGTGCTGGAGTATTTTTGCAGATCGCACTGGACCTGAATGCAGACACTAATGTGTCTGTGTTCCGGGTGCGGGCGATTGCACTGCAGGTGAGGGGAGTGGCTGCGGTGCCATTGACTTGAATGCACCACCACGGGAATGCACCACACCACCAGCGAGCCGGCTGACTTGCATTCCAGTGCGTTCCAGAGGCTGGATGCTCTGGAACGCAGACTTTGTGGTGTGAACAGGCCCTAAGGGTGCTTCACCTGGCTCTGTAATAAAGGAATGTGACACATCCAGCATACTTTTCAATGTAGCTGCTTTGCATAAAACATTCTACATTTTCTAAGCCCCAAAAGAAGCAAAGAGGGTCTCAGAAATGAAAGCAATTAAAGAACCATGAGGGGGAGTTATTAAAACAGGAACAGACAAAATTTGGAGCAGCTGTGCACAGCAGCCAATCAGATTCTCTATTTCATTTTCAAATCTTAACTGAACAAACTGAAGGGAGATGCTGATTGGTTGCCCTGGGCAACTGCTCCAGATTATCTCTGCTCCAGTTTTGATACATTTCCCCCCAGTGTATTTAGTGTAATATTTTTTACTGGAGAAAATAAATGTAAAAGATACACAACAAATACCTTTTCCATCGAATCATCCACAGACATAAGTGTCTGCAACCTCTTTCTGTGAAGCACATTCGTAAACTCCATGTGTATAGGCAACATGGCACCGGTGTACTGCATGATCCAATGCTTGTCCATGTTTGGCGCATAATTGTAGCTGGGAGTTCTGTTAAAAAATTGGAATACACATGATTGTTTATACAGCTATGCCTACGACATGTCTATAAACAATTATATATTATATTATATAAACCGGATACAACTCATAAATACCTATAAGCTAAACACACAGTTGAACGTGCCAAATTATTTGCAATCATGTTAGGTCAAGGAACCCCTGCCAGATACCACATCCAGGTCCTGGATTTCTCTATGGACTACACTGCAGTTAGGCAATAAAGTCTAACTGAGGATCCAGACTGTGATTGAACAGTAAAGAAGTACTAGCCCGTTGCTGAGGTCATCTTTTGCTAATCCCTCCTGTAAGCATGTGCACCAACTTGGATTAGCAGCACTGAGCAAAGTAAATGAGCCTGATTGACCTGGAGTCTTAGTACTGTTGTGTAGGGGGCTATTAAGAAAAATGTTGGTAGATATTGTCATTCTATATAAAATATACTGAGGGGAATTTATTCAAACTGGAGCAGACAAAATCTGGAGCAGCTATGCATGACAACCAATCAGCTTCTCTCTTTCATTTTCAAATCTTGACTGAACAAACTGAAGAGAGAAGCTGATTGGTTGCCCTGGGATTTTATCTGCTTCAGTTTTGATAAATTACCCCCAGTGTATTTAACAACTCTCTAATGGACACAAGACCAAATTACATGGAGTTTGTTATATCTGTCAGAAATTATGATTGGCTAACCCTTTTGTTGCCGGTGAGAGATTACCCAATAAGTGGGACATGACACTGAAGGCTACTTGGAGGAGCTCCTGTTCATTCCTTCAATGTGACTGGCTTGACAGAGGTGATGTAACTGCCATCTTCTGATCATTGGTAGTTGGCCATGTGCTGCTGGTGACAGCTTGGTCACAGTTCTGAAGGCACCAGTTGAGTGCACCCCAGAGCAACACAGTGCCACATATATGCAATAGCTGGGAGTTAGGGTCACCCGCTGTGCTACTGCATAAATGCGTTACGCTATCGTAAAGGGGTTAAGAAGCCTTTCAGGTTTCTTTTTGTTGGCATGCTATACGGGAGCTTTCCTTTCAATTACTGACCTACAAAAAAAGGAAGCAACAGAAAAAGTTTGGGCTTTAGTACACTTTATGGCCTGCAAATCAAAGTTAGTTCATAAAAAAGCATATTTCTAATGCACAGATAAGGATGTTTATGGTTTAGGAAAGAATACAAGTGACTCGCTTTTCTATTATTTCATTTTTAGTTCCAGGAATACCTTCCAACTGTCCCTCATTTGGAACCAAATCCCTATGTCCCTCTTCCTTCCTCAGTTGTCCTTCTTTCTGGTCTGATGTACAGATATCTATGGAAATGTTCTATTTAACTACCAAAAGTGTTATTCTGCACTAAAATATGCATCTTGTCTCTTAATTATCGTGTTTGCTATTTAAAAAAAAGCCAATATAATGGAAAAGTAATGGTGAAAAAAAAAATCTGGGTTTAACCAATCATTTTTGGTACATAAATTACTAATAGTCTGCATAACTGGGGCATAACTGCATGGCCAGGGTGTGTCCATTGCCTAACAATCTCAACCTCACATAGAGAAATTAACCGACATAACCTGAATGCTGCCATTCAGTTTATGATGGTTAATTTCTTTATTTCTAATGCTAATATTTGTTTTTTTATATAAATGCAAAGAAATGTATTCAGTAATGCCTTCTCTATCAGTAATCTGTAGGCTGGCACCAACTGTTTTCATGAGTTTTACACGAAACGCAGGAAAGAAGGTGAGCTTTGAAGGTTACATAACCAGGTTCATTAGATCAATGTTCATTCATTAAGTTGATGAAGGGGATGGAAAAGGACCTGTTAACAAGACAAATGTGAAAGACAAAAATAAAATATACATAAAAAAAACAAATTCTTGTAAAGATGATAATTTCACTTGGAAGGCTTTGAGAGCAGAATGTATGCTCCACTTAACTTAAAAAGAGATTTAGCAAACGTTTTAAATACCGTAGGACAAAGAGCAGTATCGCATAGCAACAATAAATCCTTCATCACTCTAAATTGCTGCGAGGGGGATCTGTCATGGGATTTAAAGTAGTTGTCCATGAACAAGCCAAAATGACTTGTAGCATTAGATTGCAGGTTAACACAAACCAAATACCAAAAATAACCATTTACATACCTTTTTTTAAAGTGTTTAGACACAAGTCTAAACCTTACCCTACTTTTTAGGGCATGGTACGTAGGCAAAGGGAAACACCACTGCCCAGTTATGCAGATTGTGAAACATTTATATGCAAAAATGATTGGTTGCACCCACAAATGTTTTTTTACTACTAATTTTTCTTTACACTGGCTTTTCAAAATATAAATGCAATAATTTAGTTGGATGAAAGGTTTAGTGCAGTATAACAGTTTTGGTACCTAAATCATGCATTTTTTTAAAATGAGGATTTAATCACACAGGCATTAAAAACGTAAAGATGCGTACATCATATAGTTTTGTACACATCTGTATGCAGCAGTCAAGTAGTCTATGGGCTCATTCACATAGCAGTGTCCGAGGCCATAATGTTGCTCTGTGTTCAGCAGCTTAAATAGCTTAGCATAGCTTAGCATAGCATAACTGGGCATGGAGCTGTAAATTTCAGTATTATTTATGCGGTACCGCCTACATGGGTACAGCACTGATGCAGGCTGTTGGCTGCTGCAAGCTGACATGTCAATGTCAATAACGTGTAGTGAGGAGCCGCTAATTACACACTATTGATGTTTACATGTTAGCCCTGTGAATATCTAATTTCTGCGTAGGCGGCACATGCGCAGAATGACCTCATCCTTCAGTCATTCATATGGTCATTCTGCTCATGTGCCACTGGCTGAAGGCTGAACTCATTCTGCACATGCACTAACACCTAAAGGGTATTTCCACTTTCCCTGGTCAATCTGGGAAAATATAACTACCCCCCTCTACCCTGGCACGCTCTCCCCCCTTCCCTTGCTTTACTTACCTTTGGGCAACTGCCCCTTCCCCTCCGCCAGTGTACTACCTGTACTCCATACAGAGCAGTGCAGCCCTGTGCTCTGAATTTTAAATTTTGCTTGCAAATGGCAAGCACTCACCTGACCACGCTGACCAATGAGAACTGCTTCTTGCTTAGATTGGAGGGGATAATTCAATTTTCCCAAATTCACCTGGGAAAGTGGAATTACCCTTTAAACATTAATAGTGTGTAATCATAGCGGCCCTCTAATCAGGCAGTGTAGAGGGCAGCCCGAGAAGCCGAGGACCCAGCGGCCGCCGATCACAGATGCCGCATCGGATGCCGGCGACAGTGGGGGTCACGGGGGCCGTACGCGACGGCATCGGAGAGGCCCGGGGGGCAATTGCCACCCTGCCCCCCGGCCCAGTCCGCCCCTGAATCATCGGCAGTGCTGCTGACTAAACATTGTTGTCAATAGGCTGCATTAACCATTCTTGCTTGTATGCATGGAAACATTACATTCATACTACATACTGAAAACTTAAATGCAGAATCTTGCTGCCAACTTCTGCCAGCAGGATCTTGCGGTAATTATGTACATATCATCTGAATGCGCCCTAAAGGTCTATACATCAGACCAAAAAGAGGGATTACTAAGGAGGAAAGAGGGATTGGTTCCTAAAGAGTGACAGTTGGGAGGTATGCATACATGAGTAATGTAATAAGTAATTATGATTTCTTAATGCTAAATCCTCAGTAATTGCTTTAAATGAAATATTCCTAATATTTTGGATGGAATTATTATAAAAGTCAAATGAAATAAAAACTTAAGAGGAACCTGCAGAACAAACGAGAATTTAGGCTTGTCTGCGTTTTACCAATCTAGAGGGAACATCTCTTGGAAGGCAGTTCAGGTTACACCCTGCAAGAGTATCCCAAGTACATTATCACTTGGACAAATGTTCTTGGAAAGGCTCTCCGCTTTTTTCTTTCCTGTTATTTTGAGCCAATGACATTTGAAATGTTTTTATTTTATAAAACCAAAATAAAACACAGAAACAGGACTGAGAGCATTTTTTCCGTCTCACATAAAAGGGTGGATTATATAATTAAAAAGTAAAAAACAAATAAGAGTGACTGACTCATTCAGTTAAATGATTTTCAATGAGTGTAAAAAAAACTGATTTGAGAATGATTCAACACACTTTGTTTAGAAATGTTACTAATGACTTAATGAGCTTTTTGTAACTGAGTGAGCCTAAAGGCACTGATTTACTAAAAGAAGCTAAACAGTACAATCAGAAGTGTACATCCTTCATCAAAAGTAAATAAAAGTGGATTCATATTTCTTTGAAGAGAGAATGCTAGTGAAATTTAAAGTGATATCAATTTAATGCACATAATTGCAATGCTAGTCATACATGGGTTACTCGTTATTTGCAACAAAAAATCTATTACACTACATTTTTTGTAGGCCATACAACACCAAGTAAACTACTACATGTCTGCCCAATTTACTCCTTTATTACAATTAGTAATAATGAACCTGCAACCTGACGGGCTCTTCCCCTTTCTACATCATGTAGTAGCGCAAGTTTGAACTTTCTTAGCATCTTCCTGTCTCCATACATGTAAAGTCACATGATGTGAGCACATTTAAGCTAGCCATACAGAATTTGGGCTGATTTTTGCCTGGCAGATTGCAGCTCCATTATTACTGGTTGTTAAGATGTGAACTGGGCAGGAAAGTAATGGTTTCTAGTGGTCCTGTTGGCACCGTGCAGCTCTTAAAATCAAAGAAAAAGGGAGGAAAAAAGTTGGTCAAACAGTGTATCCTATAATGTAAGAAAGTTCTCTCACTCAACAACAATCTAATTATGTATAGCTAGCCTTGCTCTGGAGGCTATTTCAACAATTAGCTGAATCATTTTGCTTCTAGCTGCTAACCACTGCCAACTGCCGGCATTCACCTGAAAAATTAGTGTGCCTGAAAGCAGTTTTATTATACGGATTGTAACAAGGACACTCCACTGAAGACCGGAGGTGCAAGTACAATGCAGTTTATTTGCTTTCAAAACGATAGATAACACGAAATCCAACATAAATAGCTTGCTGTAGCATAACAGATAGGGGCTCACCAATCCTCGAGTTGTCACGTACACTCAAGGTGTCCCAGTCTTTTAACAAGTCTCTCTCGCAGCACTGCTGCTCCGGCCTCAATCTTTAGGGCCACTGTCTGGTTCCTCCAGACAACAGCAATAACATGCCAATCCTCTCAATATGGTTCACAAACCCGCAGCTCCCTGCTGCCCTGGCCTCCACACTGACTCCGGGGTGGAGCTCTCCTGACTCACAGGTGGGGCCCTGAACACATCCCAGCACACACTTCATGAGGGATGTACACAGGTGCACAATCAGGTGCTGGTCACCACCAAAGCATGGACCCAGGAATGGAGATTTCTTCCCACCCAGAGCTCTAAGAAATCTCCTGGCTCCAGGATCCCAACTATGATCCAGAAAACCCAGAAAGAACTGAAAAGGCAGTTCTCTCCTGGTACCAGTAATGTCTTCCTGGAGCCACTCAGCCCCTCTGGCTGAGAACCCTGGGTGACTTTGATTCCACCTAACACCGTGGTATTGCCTCACAATGCCACAGGATCTAACTACTTGTCAAGAAATAGGTAACAGATTCTCTAAACCAGTGTTTGTCAATCTTTAAAAGTTTGCAAAATCTCAAGGCACCCCAGTCCAAAATGTCAGAGATTTTAAGGGGGACCCCACACAAAAACACAAAGAAGTAGGTTTCCGTTTCGCATCGCAGTGCCCCCTTCAAATCAAGATTCCCAGCACCCTGGTTAAAAAAGGCTGCTCTAAACCTTGTGGATTTTTAAAAGTGATATTAAAGTAAAAATGTTTTTGAGTAATTTCAAATGCTGATCAGATCACTTACAATCGATACTGCTTCTAGTCCTGCTATCCTATTTTAGGGGGATCCTTTCCCTTGCAAGGTCTGAAGGAGCTACCCTACTGCACAAACACACAGGACCAGCAGGCCAAGGCAAGTCACTCCGCTGCACCGAGCTACCCACTCCTCCTTTCTCCAAGCTAATAGATGGACAGCTGCAGGAGACTGTGCTCTCCATTGTGATCTTGTACTCAACAGGATGTTCAGGGAAGAGGAGCTGAGAGAGTTGAAGCCAGCTATTCAGAAACATGGTGACTGTAAGTGCTCGGGCAAAAATGTAAACAAATATTTTGCTTGCAATATTTATGCTTGATCTGGATTCATCATTGAAAAAAGTTTGAGCGTATAATACTACTGTAAGGCTTTCTGTAAAAATAAATAGTTGGTCGAGATTGGTAAGGGAGTTGCAGAGGGTATACAAGCAAACATGGAGGCACCTCTAGGTGCCATTTATACTGCTCATTTAGTTAAGGTGAAAACATGGACATTTTAAATAAGCTTCACACAATAATATACACTTCATTTGTTTGGAAAATTTCTTAAGGCATAGGTTTTCTTAAAATGGGCCATTAATTTAATAGGTTCAAATCAATTTATTTTTAAGAAAGGTCAGTATATGAATTATCATTTGAGCTCACCATGAACTAGTAATAAGACGACATTTCCGAATGTGAAAATAATTTGAACATTGTGTATAAGACAGAAACTGATCATAATATGGTTTTAACAAATCTGATGAAAGCTTCACTTCTTACCCATTAACATATCTTAAGTGAAAATGTTTCTTTTCTTTTTTTTGGGGATAGAGTAGCGAGGAATTTTATTGTATTTTAATGCCGTGTTATGAAGATTTACTCTAGCTGTTTATCCTAGTGACCACTATTACTGGGGTTGAAAGTGGGAGGAAATTCAACAATTAAATTTGTTTTCAGAATAGGAATAGAGAAATCTTCCAATGATGACACTTGTTCTGCTGTCAACTGTCTAAGAAAGTTTTTCTCTCACTTTGGTTGTGTCTACAAAACAGAAAGTAAAGGAAATCTCCCTAATCAGACACAGATGGAAAAAAAAACCCTACTCCAGTGAAAATGAAAAGAAAAAAAAGTTTTGACTTTAACTACACTTTAAACTGTAAAGTAACAAATAAACACTAGTATTCCCATATTGCACTGCCTAGTATACCAAATTGATAAAAACTGGAGATAGAAGCAGAACTATGGGATAAACCCAAAAAACAAACATGGGATCCAGAATCTATAGTAAATATATGTAGCTATCTTTATTTGCCTTCAAATACCCTTATAAAAATGCATAATAGAACTCTAATACCAGCATCCAAAGCCTGTTTTCATCCCTATGCCATGGCTGGAGCTTCTAAAACAGATTACCACCCACCACTGGCCCAGCTTTGCGGCTCCAAGTCCAAAGTCTCTTGGTAATATTCCGCTGACATACACTACTACAGTATATGCAAATGCCGCAAATAATGTGGGGATATGTGGTTTAGTCAATAAAGCTTTCAGAAACTATGGGGAGACGCTGGTATTCCTGCCCATTAACAACTTTCAGGCTGAGACTGCAAGTAGTAGGAATCAGAACTGAGATTAAAATTTTCTACATTTAAAGAGGTAAGCAAGATTTGGGTCACGACGGCAACCCGCGGATGCGAGTCTGCCGTCCGTCCATTTTTTCTTAACGGGCGGACGGCAAAAGGTTAAAATTCAAATGACCAATAAATGAGAGGTTACATAGTTTATATAAAAAGGAGACAGCAAGCCTTTAGTTGCACTTTAAGCCTTCAGCACCATCTGTAATAACTCATTTTGATCAACATTTCCACACAAACAAAAAATTCCAGGAAAGTCATTTCCAACATTCTCTGCACTGGAGTTCCAAGTGATCAACTTACATATGCTGGGAAGCATTAGGGAAGAGTTCTGAAAACTGTGGGGCAGAATCCTCAGGACCATGCGGTGCCGCGTGACTGATAACCATCATTATTGGCCGATGGGGGTACATCTTCTTTGACTGTCTGAAGTAATTAATGCTGTCATTGGTAATAAGATCTGTAAAATAGTCCTAAAATATAAAAATAAAATGTAACAACATTTAAAATATTACCTATAGAGATAAAGATCTAAGTTAAAGTGTATGTATAGCCAAAATCTTTGTTTACAGTTCTGAATAATTATTAGAGAATAATTAATGGCTGAATTCACCTAGCTAACAAACCAGGTTAAGGATACTTATAGTTTTAAAAAGTAACAGTTATTTTGGGCTAAATCACAGCTTGTGTTAAAGCTTTGTAAATTAAACCTCCTGTCGGATAATTTTTTGCTGTCTGTATCCTGTTGGAGAGATTTCCCTTTAATTTCTGTTCCAAGAATGCAATAGGAAGTTAGCATAAATCTCCCATAGTGAAGGGAGTATAGTGGGGCTACCCCACTGGAAGATTTACCCTAACCTCTTGTTTTGGTGAGAACTGTAAAATTTGGGCTTTCCAATCACTTTCTGTCTCAAGGACAAAAGGTTACCAGTATGAACCGAAAGGTGAACCTCCCAATGAAACAGACAACAATAAAAATTTGACAGCAGGGCTAACTCAACTTTTCCATCCAGAACAAAAGAAAGGTTTACCTTTATGTGCAGTCCTTCTGTACTTTATCCAAAGCTAAATTAACAAAAATAAATAAAGGACTACTCAGACAAGTGGTTAAACAGACTTGAACCTCTGCTTCTGTCTGCAGTCATCTTAAAAGTTTGTGCAAATCCAAGCAGTTAAGCTGAGTATTAAACCACATATTGGACCATTAACTTAAATGAGAATTGGACCATTAACTTAAATGTTTCAGTTCAAATCTATGCAAGTATATGTGGCGTGTTTTGATAGCATAATCCCAAACCCCCTAGGACTTCACCACTACACTTTGATAACTGCAAGTCTGCGCTTACTGCTCATATGTGAAAAGCCCTAAGACCTTCTATCTCAAAAGTGGGATAGTATCTGTCCATACCAACTGTCAGGCCAAGTGCAAGTTTAGATACGTGTGAACTGAGGACCTAACACAACTGCTCATAACCAATATTGAAATATCTTTATATTTAATATTAAAAAATCCAGTACAAGCCAACTGGATTTTCATTGTTTCTGTCCTTGCACAACTTTTATTGGTGAAATAATGCATTGAGTACTCACAGGTCTTGTTCTCTGAGTCCGACTGGAAATGAACTGCTAGAAGAGTAGGGAAACAATTTTTCCTACTCTTCTAGTCAGTGGTTCTGGTTGTCTTGGTACAAAAAGTGGGAAAAGTCTTTTTTAGTCTCCCCCCACCTAGGCATGCCTCGTATGGCTGACATCATTTTTTTCTAGCCAATCAACTGGGGTGAGAAGGGGTACAACAAGATGGCTGGCCTAGGGTAGCAAAAAGTATACATCTAACCATGTTGTGACATCTTAAATATACAACTTGTGACTTTGTCTGACAGCAAGTATGAACATAATGTCTGAAGTGAACAAATGGTCTACAGTAACCCTGGGAAGATCAGATAATACTGGCTCACTTTTATCCACTGTTTTTCTTACAGCTAACCTATGAGTCTATTATATGGGGACTGCTATTGCAGACTTGTTTTCAACCTGGTCCTGGATTCCCTACCTGTTTCTACCAGGTGACTCACTAGGTAGTAAAACCAGGATCATGAAAACATCATGGATGGTAACCCCCATATTTCTGTCCTCGCAGGTTTATTTCAAGCCTTTGTTTTCTCTCCCAGTGATCTGCTGCATGAATTAATGTCAGTGGCAAGGCTAGCAGAATCCAAATGCAATAATAGACAATTGTGGAAACAGGTGCCAACAGTGAAAAAAGGAGATCCAAAAATTATAGCATATTTCTGGCAATAATGTTGAGGCTTAGCAGTCAACTGGAAGTGTTTTCATATTTTGCCTGTGCAATTTAGTGAAAGGTCACATCAATCCAATATGTCATATGTTGGAATATTTTGGCCTTTTTCATTTCACTTCAAATAATTTAATGAAAGTGGAGCATACACCATTTAAGCAAATGAGAAAAACATATAAGTAGTGGAGGAAGGATGTATGCCACCCTGATGCGTTCCAGATACCTTTTGAACAAAAGCTACATAATGTGCCAAGTCAAAGCTTTGATATCCTGGATAGTATAAAGAAGGTTTAAAAGGCTATCATTGCATTGTATCCTTCTTGATTAATGGGTGACATGGCTTTTCTTTTATTTGCTTTTACTTTCCAAGCGCCTTTTTTTTCAAGGTACTCAGGATCTAAAAAAAGCTGGAACATAATGTTGGCCAGAAATAAAAATGGAGTAATGACAACCTCAGCCGATTATAAATATTAGAATGCTGAGTGTCATGATATAATTCAGTTTAATGTGCAGGAAGGATTATTAATTACACAGAGATAACCAACCCATTTCCACTGATTAAATAAAAACTAACAAAGTAAGATACAAATAAAGCAAAACAATTACTCAGACTCATGCAGATTTAAAGCTGCCTATCTTAAAAAAAAAAGAAAAAAAAAAGCATTTACACTTGCATTGGGGCAACCCCCTGCTCTGCAAAGGGTACTTGCTCGTTTTGTCTAGGGTGCTCTGTAAAGGACTTTTACTTACCCTGCTCCTCCAGGTTCCAAGACCTGCACCCGTAGTCTCTTTTTCCCTGCGTTCTTTGTTCCCCATGCATCCTTTTCTTTCTGCAATCAGTACCCGAAACTACTTCACTTTGCTTTTCAGCTAGTCGCAGCTCTCTGATGTCATCACGTACAATGCAGGGCCAGCAGTCCTGCATTGTACAGGAGAGCAGCAAGGGCCCACTCACAACCCAGGGTGTTGGATAGCAAAGGAGAGCGCCAACCGAGAGGAAGTGAAGAAACACTAAGTACTTGGACCTATAACTTTACCCCCCTAGGCAAATGCACATTTAACCCATGCAGTGCTGGGAGGACCCCATTGCATGGATACTTTTAAAAGCAGCCCTAAGTTGAGCTTTAAAAAGTCTGCCAATGGAATATGGATAAGGCTGCCAGGAACAGTGCACCACATGCAAAATTCTGACCTCACTGTTACCTGTGAAAGTTAGAGGTATTGAGAGTTACCAATGACTGATTTCTACCTAAGTCCACTTAGGTCAAGTACTGTATGATGGTATAATTCGGATCACTAAGATAAGTTCTCCCTGTCCTAGTACAATTACTGGATTTTAACATGTTTTTTAGAGGAGAACTATTAGGAGAGGAAAATCTATACTTCTCAATAGTTTGAGCCGGCGTGAAACACTGCAGCTGTCACACCCCGGCTCTAAAGCTCGAGAACTGAGCAACCACAAACTACTGGTCGCTTAGCTCACATCTTCTCCTTGCAGAGAGCAGTGACTGTCAGTCACCGCTCCCTGCAGGGATTCCCTCTCCACTCTCTCTATTCCTCCAGCACTCAATGGAGGAAAAGACAGGGGAGAGGATGAGCACAGCTGGTTCTAGAGAAGCAGAGCCAGCTGTTAATCAGGCAGTGGGGTGGAGTCCGACATAATTGTCGGCCTGCTATTTGCTGAGTTTGGGTCATAGGGGGACATTAGTAAAGTACATGTAAATGTACTCCCAAATGTGACCAAAAAGAGAACTAAAGCCAACAAAGTTTGGCTTTATTTCTCTTTTAACAATGATATATAAAATTGCCCAGAATGGAAACATTCTCACTTTCACATCTTAGTGCAGTGAGTTTTGAAGAAATGCTATTTAAATAATGAAATGGTTACGCAGGTAAAATTCATGCAAAATGCATTTAAGGCACATTAATGACAAGCCCTGCTACTTTGTCCTTTTAGTTGTTTTAAGATGTTTTCTATGGTCATAGTCAAAAATAAAGATGGTGAGTACAACATTCAGATTGACACATCTATGAACCATTTATAACAGTGATCATGGTGCATGGCTAGCAATGCTTGTGAAATTGTTTCCATTTGTGTGCAAGACGTCCGGCATGTGCTGCTGAAAAAGCAATGTTTGTGTGTGATTTGTGAAACACTTTCATTACATCACACTGGGACATCTGGACCTGATAAAATAATAGCTATACAACATATTTTGAGACGTGTTTATGAAGCAACATCCTTACAAATTTCACAGACATTCTGGGGATAATTTACTAAAAGAGCAGAGGGCATTTGCTTTGCAAAGTGAATTCACTATGTTTAGTAAATAAGATAAAGCTGTGTTCACATGAATCAACCCATCATGTGCAAACACAAATCCTAATTTTGTATTTTCCCTTGAACATGATTGGGTATTAAAAATGAATGCAGGGTTACCCTTTTTACGATCATTCAATTCTGAAAGTGAATCTATACTTTTCAAAGTACACATTTACTTTTCTGCTTCCTTAGCATTTCGACCCCTTTGTGCAATTTTAGAAGTCTGCTAAATATTTGCATATAAGTCCCCTGCACATGTTTATAAAGGGTTCGTCAGGACAGAAATATAGAAGTTGTCTATACTGATGATCTGTTGAAGATGGAAACTCCAGGCCTGTCATCCTAGTCCATGCTTTTCTATCTAGTGAGTCACTGACCCCCAACAAACATATGACTCTCAAGTATCGCCACACCTGACATGCACATACTTGTTCTAGGTCAGTTAGGCAGTGAGGTCAGGATTAGGATAACATTCTTTGAGCATGCAATTTTAAAAACCAAGTCAGAAATGACAATCCCAAACTCCTAGCCTGACAGGGTCCTTTAAAAGTAACCACTGAATTGAAGAAATATTATAAAGCAGTCATATTTATTGTTTATTTCAGAGTTAATTGCTTATAAACGGATGGAAAAATAATTGTACTATTTACCTCAGCATGACCATTGGGAATCGTCAGTAGTGTTCAAAGTTAGGTAATTCGGGAGGCCGTAATAACTACGATCGTGCAGCTGCTGACATTAAAAAGAAATCTGACTTGCAAACAAGTGGGCTTAACCTATAGGCAAAATGGTTGCGGAAATTGTGCGTCTCAAGGAAACTGAGGAAATGAAACAAAAGGGGAGGGGGGCTGGGG